CAGTTTGCTCTCAGCTACTAATGTAAAGGCTTGTGCTTTGATAAAGATTATAGCCAAGACAATGTACGGAGCACTCTACTCTAACACATGGAGCCACCAAGAGTTAGAAACAATTCAGTGATGAATTTTTTTTGTTTTTTCTCTAAATGTCCTTCATTTAGAGACATATTTGATTCTTTTGAAGAAGAGTCAAGAGTCATTGAATAATATAAATTATTAGGCAATGTCTTATATAAATAAAAAGATAAGTCTAGAAGAACCATTCAAGCTTACAGTATGCCAGGCATGATGCTGCTCACCATACATGTTATTTCATTTAATCCTCAGAACATTCTTATGAGATAGGAATTATTTTAATGCTAACTTTTCAATGAGATAGCAGTGTTTACAGTACTCAATAACTTGCCTAAGTTAGTATCACTTGTAAAATTATTAACCATAAATATAAACAGAGTGTAACTTAAGAAGAATAACTGTGGACCAAGCCATTTATCTTGTACAGTTTACCCATTTGGTCTTCTTTCATGGGATTCCATGTTCACAGGGAACTCCTGAGTATATCCACTAATGGCAGATGCTCATGTCTTTTGTTGCCATGTGCAAAAAATGGAAAGTAAAATAATGAAAGTGCAGATTGCTTAGACAGTCTGCTAGTGATACAGCCAAACTGATCTACTGCACATTTATAAGTCACACTAACTTTATGTGAGGCAAATGAATACTCTTTTGTTCTATTGTTTACAGTAAGCATTATTTTTTTTGCATAGTGTAGAATCTCTAAAAACTTGGGCACTATAATGATTCCACTGATTAAGGTCTTTGCTCTTTAGCAGGCAAGATTTATTGATCAATCTATCAATTGATTGGGTCTATATATCTACCCATATAGCCATCAGTCACCTAATTGATAGACCTAGCTAGCTAGATCTATCACAGATTAAGACATAATTTGCATGCAAGAAAACCCAATCTGTTTCCTCTTAAATACAAGACAACTAAAAATTCAACTTGCTCCAAATTATAGTTAGTTACCAGAACTTGAGTCTCCTGACTTCAAACACAAGATTCCAATTTAGATAGAAATGTTTTAATGTTGAAGAAAGTCATGTGACAGAACACTAGTAAGAGAAAAGTACAATGCTAAAACAGTTTAATGTTGATAGACTATAAGATGTATATTTACTCAAAATTTGTATACATCATAGCAATTTAGGCAGTGTTGTGTACTGAGAAAAACAAAGCTATCGTGGAAAACGTGTTTTCAAATCACCAAAAACTGAAATTTTCAAACAGTATAAAGTCGTCTGTATGTTGTCTTAGGAGTCCTGGTAGTGTAGTGGATTACAACCTGGACTGCTAACCACACGGTCAGCAGTTTGAATCTGTCAGTTGCTATGAGCTGTAATGGACTCAATGGCACACAACCACCATCACCATATGTTGTCTTGATAGTACAGAATAATTTTAATGCTACCAGATCTCTACATTGCTTTTTAGAGCAAGTGATTGCAAGCTGTTTAGTATTTAAAATAAAATATTTTGTAGAAATTATAAAATCAATCTAAGAAAATTATTTCTAAAATCTTAGATTTGATTCTAACATGATAACTAGTGAAATAACTTTTTTAACTCCATAATATCAACATAGTTATATTGAAGGCATCGATTTAGGCCTGTTTCCCATGCAGGTAAGACATCTTCCTTCTCTTTAAAGCCATAGACTATAACTGATACTGTTAATTTTGCGTTGTATGTATTCACATAGTTGGTTATTGACTCTAAAGGGATATCTGGGTACTGTCACTAATGAGCTGTGTGACCTTGGGATATTCACAATCTCTCTAACTCTAAGGAGATGAATTAATAACAGACATTGTTTGCCTCTATGTGTGAGACCTACTGATAGTCCCCAAGGATACAATCACAAGAACAACTAAGCACTGTTCCTGCCTTTATGGGGAAAGGACAGCAGACATGAATCAAATATTTTGAAGAAACAGATACAACATACAAACGTAGTAGTGCTGTGAAGGAACAGTACTGGTACTGAGAGAGGGAAACAGAGAAATCTAATTTAGTTTGAGAGAGATGTTCATGCTGAGATCTGAGAGCCAAACTCAAGTAGCTAGTTGGTGGAGGGAAGTATGGGAAGAAAGTCCTGAGGCAGCCAGAAGCATGGTGTCCTTGTGAAACTGAAACTGAACTATTGGCTGAAGCAAAGAAAGCAATGCTGATTCATGAGATCATGGGATTTCATCTCATTTTAAAGTGTCTGCTAATATTTTTCTCTATGTTTTTGTATTTTATACTGTCATTCTTAACTTGAATAATATAATGAAAGGCTGAAAAGATATTCACCTCATATTTCTGTCTTGAGCTATTTTGTATGACTGTGATGTACATGAATTTCAGCTATCACTATATAGTTAAATAACTCCAGCCTATCAACAGCATGAAACTACCAGCTGTTCCGCAGGAGAAAGATGAGGCTTTCTGCTCCCGTAAAGATTTACAGCGTCAAAAACCCTGTACAGGGTAGGTATGAGTCAGAAACGACTCCACGGCACATCACAACAACAACAAGAACAATCAACAGCACATCAAATTTAAGTTCCAACAATATATTAATAATGAAAACTTTCATAAAATTCACACTTTACTGCTAGTTCTTCAGCCCACAAATCACTATGTAAATAACCGATGACCACCATGACCAATTATTTAATTTCTTTCATTATATAGATGATTGGTTGATGCACATATGCTATTCATTTCATTGTTGTTGTTTTTTAAGTGTTGTTGAGTCAGTTCCAATGCATAGGGACCCTGTATACAGTTTTTGAGGAGCACCTGGTGAGCCTGAATCACTGACCTTACATTTCAAACCAACTTTGCAGTCCAGTGCATTAACCTGCAGCACAGAGGCAGTAAAGCATATAATTGTGCTACTTGTCTCCCAGTAATAAACAATGTGGTATTTTAGAAAAATCAATAACTGAAAGAACTGGTCAATAAAGATGAAATTCCAGCAAAGAACCCAAAAGTGATAATGCTGGAAGTGAAATTCCAATAAAATGTAAATGGAGATAGAGAAGAAGTAGCTGACTATAGATATGTTGATACCCTTCCACTGGAAAGACTGTAGATGTATGTTGTTGTTGAGGTTTAAGTGCCGTGGAGCTTATTATGACTCATTAGCAACCCTACATAGGGTTTTTGAGAGCAACTGGTGGGTTTCAACTGATGATGTTGCTGTTAGCATTTCAGTGCTTATCCTATAGCACCACACCAGGTTCTATGTTGTTGTTAAGTACTGTTAAGTTGATTCTGACCCATAGTGGCCCTGTATGGGGTTTCCAAGGAGCAGCTGGTAAGCATGAACCACTGACCTTGTGGTTCAAATGACTTTGCAGTCTGATGCACTAGCCCACAACTTATTTACATAAATTAGGAAAGTGGTTGCAATGAAGATTTTCCAGAGAAAGTGGTGGTACTTCAATACACATTGAAGGCATTCTGGAAGATATTGGTAGAATTCTCGCCTGCCACACGGGAGGCCCGGGTTCGATTCCCAGCCCATGCAGAACAGATTGTTGCCATAAGGAGCTCTGGTAGCGTAGTGGTTACGAATCGGGCTGCGAACCTTAAGGCCAGCAGTTCGAAACTACCAGCTGTTCCGCTGGAGAAAGATGAGGCATTCTGCTCCCGTAAAGATTTACAGCCTCAGAAACCCTGTACAGGGTCGCTATGGGTCGGAAACGACTGGAGGGCACTTAACAACAACAACAACAACATGGAAGCTGATCTAAACTAAAAAGCAATATGACAATTTATCGAGACATAGAAAATATGCTCACTCCATATTATAAATTATATAACAAAAACAAAGCAAATATGGCTAATACTACTTTTAATACTTTTTTAACAAAGAATAAAAAAGTTTATTAAATAACATTTAATTTTAATTCTTAATATTTCTACTGTTTTACGGTGTACTAAGTTTTCAAACTCACCAATTGCACCTCAGAAAGCCTATACAAGGTAGCTATGAGTTGGAACTGAATCAGTGGCACTTACCAACTAATTACTGTAGTTCTGGTGTGTGCTGTAGGATAAGCACTGGACTACAAACTTCAAGGTCAGTGGTTCAAATCCACCAATCGCTCCTTGAGGGCACACAACAGCAGCTACTAATTATTAGTTTTACTAATTTTATACTTTCCTATACATTTTAAACTAGCAGTAAGAGAGTTTTTAATGTTTGACAAAAAATTTTTAAAGGACATAAAAGAATTATATTTTTCTCCTTAAAGATAATTTCACATGGTCACTTTAATGGTCTGGTACTACTGTACGAAGTGAGGACTGCCTGAGAATTTACTGAATCCACCCAATATGTTTTTGTTGTTGTTAAGTGCAATTGGATTGGTTCCAACTCATAGTGACCAGTTATAGGGTTCTTAAGGCCGTTCTTTGTAGGAGCACAAAGTCTCATATTTTTCTTATGGAGCAGATGGTGGACTTGAACTGCCAACCTTGTGACTCACAGTCTAGTGCTTATCCTATAGAATCACCCAGTATAATATTTTCAAAGTGTCATATGAAAATGAATGTATTTTAAAATGTAGGATTATTTTCTATATTTACAAGTTTCTCAATCTTGAAGAATTCTAGGGGAACAACAGAGCTAGGCAACAATATTAATTAATTAAATCTTTAGAATATTATCTAAATACTAGAAAGTAATATTTATGCTGTAACATCTGAAAATTCCTAAAATTTCAAAATCTATATGTGATACTATACTTTAGTAAGTATAATGAATATAGGAAAATATGTCTATATCTTATTAGGACTTAGGTTTTTAAAAGTTTTTTTAACTTTTTAAATTATCATTTTAAACCCAATGGTCTAATACATCTGAATGGACTATACAAAATAGTTAAGAAGAAAACAGATCATTTATATCAAAGAGGGAAAAGGATGAAAAATTCACATACCGATTGTAGAAATCATCTCTGTAGTAATCATAGTCAAAGACATAACCACTAAGGAGGGAAACAAAAAATTAGTTGGATTTATTTCAACCACATTAAATTTGGCATTAATTTATGATATTATAGCATGAAAATCAAGATATTTTTATAGATCAATTTTTAAGTATAATTAATCATCTAAAGGATTTTATAAGATAATGTCCAATTTGATACAACATTATATCAAGCCATTATTAGGTTTGACAATGCAGAGACTGATGAAGACTTTGTGGTCAAGAATACAAGATGAGAGCACATAATAAAATGTATTTAATTTTAGGAGACATCCTAATACAGTGGCTTATTCAGATATACTATGCTGTCTCTTTACAGCAAACACTGGAGAAACTAAGTCGAAAAGATGACAACCCTGAGACCTTGAGCATCAGATGAATAAGAATCATATCTAACTACAGTTGCAAGAAGAACTGAGTGGGAATAGCAAATGTGGAGAGATAAGGAGTAGAAGTTCCCTGCCAACTAGCCCAGCATGGTGTAACCATCTTTAAGCAAAATGAGCAGCTAGACCAAGTGAGAAGCATAGAACGACAACTTCACAGAACCCCCAATAAGAGACAGAGAAACTATGTTGACACGTCTGGAATGAAGCAAGGTGAGTAGAATATGAACCAGAGCTAAGGAGACAAAATATGGGAAGAAGAGTGAGAGTTCCTGGGATTCCAGCATTCACAGAGCAGGGAATGATCTAAGATCTGGAGACAGGATAATTAACCAGTGCTGCTATACATGAAATAATAGATCCATAGAGTCAACAGAAGGTCACCACCTGACTGCACTCTGGGAAATCCCACCCCTTAAACTTGCTTGGGACCAGGTCTCAATTGCTGACTGTAGCCAATGGAAAGAGCCCAGATACCCACAAATGATGATCAGAGGATCACCCTACCCTCTCACTTCAGTCTCCACATGATTACCAGTATGTACCCACCACCCTGCTGCCTGGTCTGCCCAGGGGTCCTAGCACAACTGTGAGTCAAAAATTATCCCCAGTCTCACTGTAGAATTTATTTTAATCAACTTTTAGAAAAGACAAATATGTCATTTTTTGACATAATATCTTTATTCTTCAATACACTTTATCCACTTGTCAAGAAGCTTTTGTATTCTCTTATTTAAAAAATGTTTTAGGCAGAGTTGTGAGCTACAAATGCACCAGTGTCTGCACTTCATCAGAGGTAAATCTTTGTCCTTGAAGGGCTACTTTCAGGGGGCCAAACAAGTGCATGTCTGATGGAACAAGATCAGGACTTTAGGGAGAATGTTGTAAACACTTCACAATGAAGTTTTCCAGAGTGTCAACAGTGTGGGCAGAGATGTGTGGACGTGCATTGTCATGCAGGTTCACAATGCCTTTGGATAGCAGTCCTCTAATTTAATTAGAAGTTTAGGCTTCAAGTCTTCAGTGAGCATCTCTCTGTAAAGAGCCCTGTTGATTGTTGAACATTTTCCCTGATAGTTCCAATACTGTCCCTTGAGAATCCCAGAAAACTGTCAGTATCAATTTTCCAGTTGAAGGTTGACTTTTGAACTTTTTCTTAGTCAGCGATTAAGGATGTTTCCATTGCATACTCTGCTGTTTACTCAGGCTCTTAGTGATGAATCCATGTCTTGTCACCAGTAATGATTTTGTCTAAAGAAACTTTCACCTTCCTTTGCAGATAGCTGCAAACTATTTTGTTTATGCTCCTCCACGAGTTGTTTTGGTATCTATCTTACACAAACTTTCCAAAACCCAAGCCCATCTTGGATTATTTCATAGGCAGAGCCATGGCTGATTTGCAAATGATTTGCCACATAATCCAATGGCACTTGTCTATTTGATGGAATAATTTCACGTACACACTCAATGTTGTTATTAACCATGCATGTGGACAGACATTTTAATATAATCAGAGAGTGGATAATTTTGACTCACTCTTGTATAATTTTGTATTTGCTGAGATGTTAAAGTAATTTTCAGGATTATAGAAAATAGCTGTGCACATTTTTCATAATTTTTATAAATGTGCACATTTATCATAATTTTTATAAATGTCCTTTTTGTTGTTCTAACTTCTGTTGAGTTGGTTCTGACTCATAGTGATCCTGTATAGGGTGCCTGAGGCTTTAAATCTTTCAATTTAAAATTTACATCTTCACGGCAACGGAAAACCTCATATTTATCCTAAGGAGCATCTGGCTGGCTCGAACTGTGGATCTTGTCATTTGCAGTCTAGTGCTTATCATATGGTGTCACTGCTCCCCCCTGTTGTGTGATGTTGTTGTTGTGTAATAGTTATTGCTAATTGCCAGTAAATTGATTTTTTACTCACAGAACTGTCCTACTGTGTTTTCTAGGCTGTAATGTTTTGGGGAGCAAATCACCAAATCTTTTTCCTGCAGTGCCTTTAGATATGTTCAGACAGCCAGCCTTTCAGGTAGCCGATGAATAAACTTTTGCACCATCAGTACATTTTTCTCTCTTTTTGCAAGTTTCCCAAATGCCAAACATCCTATACATTTTTGTTTTCCAGTATCACTTTCCTAGTGTGATCTAGCAGTCAGAAACTTAATAATAATCATCATAATAGTAATAATAATAATAAAGTAGAAGTAATTTTCAGCAGCTTCTAGTACAAGTTTGATCACTTACTATGTACTAGATACTGTGCTGGACATGTTAGGTGAATGAAATAACTACTGATTAATGGACCCATAACAGTGAAAATTCTCAGACATCTTCAGATATAACCAAATAAATTCAGAGAGAGATGTGCATGAGTTAATGTTTCTGAGACTCTTGTTTTCATATTATAACCTCAAACAGTACTCTTTAGATTAGAAGAAGAAACTATGACACATTGAACCATTAATAAATGTATTAATGTGGATGAAAGTGATTATCCCTTTTATATGTCTATACCTTTAGGAAATAGTTCAATAATTTAACAGTCCTCTGGAAGTTCAAAAATACATAAGGAAATGGAAGTCGTTTTCGTTTTCCTAATTGCTGCTGAAATCATCATGTCCAACCTAGCTAGTTTTTCTTCAGTCCTAACTATAAGACACATTTATAAGAACCAGATATTGTTAAGGAACCTGAATTACTGGATTGCCTAGATCTAGCTCCAGTGCCCTCCTGCCTTGATGGCCTCAATTTTGCCTGTCAAAGTTAGAACCAAATAAAATGCACAAACAGACATGTCTTGGTAATCATGACAAGCCTTCAGGATTTGGACTTTTAGTAGAAAGGCTCTGGTGAGTAGTTTTCTCAGGTTAGAAGCTATGAAATCAATTTAGATTTCTGAGGAAGAGGAAGAGATTCAAAGTGATGGGAAGAGATTGCTAGAGGCCAGTCTGATTCATGTAGGCTGTGTTTAACCCAGTGCTCCTGCTTCCTCCTCATCTTTTAACTTAAAAAAAATTATTTTTTTTTTTCATTCCTCAAATTTTTTCTTTAAAAAAAAAAAAAAAAAAAAAATCACTTCTTTTTCTTTCTTGGTGAACCTTTCTTTGAAATTAGTTGTCAAAAGATAGCATCGCCAGGAGTCATATCCAGGTATATAAGGTATTTTATGTTCCCTAGAATTTTATTGCCTGGAAAAAAATCCCTTTCCTTTTCCCTTCATGAAAAGGAGAGTAGTATTGATGTATCTGCTTTTAAGAAAGGAACTTTTGCAACAATTTCATAGCAGTGGGCTTTGCATGAGATTCTGGTACCCATGCTATATATACAAAATTTATAAACACAAAGTAATAATAAATTAGATGTTTAGAACATCTTTCTGGAAGAAACTAAATCCAGAAAATGCAGACTTTTTGTTTGGGAGTTTCATCACAGACTTGTGGCAGGTACTCTACTTTCTAGAAAAATGTACAGTAGTTTTTGAATATTTTACTCAAACAAATGTTTCATATTTTTGTATTTTAAAATCAAATGTATTTTAATACCTTTCATTCTACTTTTCAATATATGGCTATTCTAATTGTTCAGATTTCTTCAAGACCAAATGGGGAATCAAAATTGCTAAAATAATTATTTAGAGTCATGTACCCATATACTTTCTTTTATTTCTCAAGATTAAAGGAAGCCCAAGAAACTTTCCTGGAGTTACAGTCCTTTTTTTTTTTTTTTTCATTTATAAAAGAAGAAATTATAGAAGAAGAAAAGCCATTGAGTTTTACAATATATGAGATGAATTTTATCTAATCTTTTGAATTAATAAACCAATTTCATATGTGTATACTAATACACAAGAATAGTTCCTTTTTATTTTCTCTCAAGAACTTCATTAAAACATAATCTGAAGAATATTAATAAACTTCTTAGAACAAAGAAGAAAAAAGTTAATGGCTTTTTAACAGACATCCTGCCAATAATAACTACTACTGCAACTTTTTAAATTACCACATCTGGCCCTGTAAATTAAATTAAATAATCAATTATTGAGCACTTATTATAAATCAGGCACAATATTGACACGTGGATTTTATTAACAACAGAACATGACTTCTACCCTCAAGATGGAATATACTGAGATATTAATCTAAGTACAAAGGGATAAAAAAAATACACATATGACCAGAATTTAAGGCAGAATTTGATAAATACCAATGTAAAAATAATACTGCTTTGAGAGTTTATAAGCAGAAGAAATAAGATGTGTTAGGTAGGACACCTGAATCAAATAAAGCAATATGAAAGGGATGTTTTCTAACTGAACCTTGTAAAAAGGGTAGGACACTGACAAATGAATTAAAAGGAAGACCCTTGTAAATAATCAAGAATTGGTGATAGAAAAATATGGAACAAATATAAAGGAAAGTGCTTTAAGATTATGCTTTCTTTTCTTGCACAGCTGTTCTTCAGAATGTCTATGATTAGTTCTGGAAGTAATGAATGCAGAAGATATGATTTAGGTTAGTTAGCTGAATTTCTAAACCATACTCCTCTATGGTTTAGGTTGCTAGTGAAATTAGATGTATCCTTATAGCACCTATGTTGTAGTTGT